TTTGTATTTTTCACTAATCAATTTTTCCGTACATGCACTCATCTATATTTTTAATTAAGTACTAATAATAAAATAAGCGAGAAAAAGAACTGGTGTCTAATTAAATGAAAATTATAAGTTTAAATAAAATTGATGTATTTTCTGATTAAATGATTGTGAAAAAGACTCGTTTAATAACTTTGAATACTATTTGATAAATAATAATTTTTATAAGTTTGGTTATATTTATTGTATGAATAATTAATGTATAATAAATTTTTCATAATTTTCGTTTATTTTATATCAATAGTTTATACATTTCTTTATATTTTATAGATAATTCTTAATAATTTTATACATTATTAATGACGTATACTGAACTAAAAGAAAAACAAGGAGCAAATATAGTGGACGTCCGTATTTACTTAGAGTCAAATAATTAGTCGCAAAGAATCTCATTAAAGATGCACCGTTATTATAATACAACGGCTGCCACGTGTATGTTCACAAGTGTGTTATCATACGCGCGTATATATATATTTAATATTAATATGCTAAAAATATTTAGAGGAATTGAATGAAAAGAAATACTATCGTTTATAAGTTGACAACTAATACATTATTAATAAAATAAAGAAAAAACGTCCTACTTACTTAATAAATATAATTAATATTGTGAATATTTTGATCTTTGTACATATAATTAAATGAAAAAATAAAAAAAAAAATATTTATTAACATATTTCCTCAGTGCTCTTATTAATAATTCAAATTAATTTTGGCAAGTTTATAAAAAGAATAAATATCTATAATTGTTGTTCTATTAAGATTATTTAAAAAGTAGAACAAAATTTACTACAAATAATGTATTTTTAAATAAGTATTCTTTATAAGTTTAAACATTTTTTATAACAAAATACTTTGGTAGAACTTATAATTAAATTAAAGTATATAGTTTAATAAAAAAATATATAATTTTGTTCTTTTATTTGTAATATTCATTTTTGTATTTGTAAACTGAAAAGCCCATTCATATTTCTGAGAAAATATATGTTAAAAACATATTAATCTAAACTAAATATTTTTTAATTAAGTTGCATACAAAGAATACAACCGAATATATATATATATATATATGCAATAAATAAATGTAAAAATTTTAATTGCTTAATATGAAGTGTGGTATGTATGAATATACTGGATATTCAATAATGGAGTGATATACAAATTGCATTCAACATACTCGACATTTTGAATATCATAAAGAAAGGAAGTTTCAACGGAATCGCACATATCTACATAGTACTGGTATCATTTGAATGCCTCCATTTCATTTCATATCTTTTTTCGCCTCATCAACGAGCACATGAGAGGCATCTCTGGCTAAGTTTTGTTTCTACTGTCGACAGTTGCGGTTCTCTTCGCAACATAAGCAAATGTATCATTTACTTCGGAGCATCGAGTGACAGTGAGAATACTTCGTCTCTTTTTTGTATCATTCAAAGGCAACTCTTTCTTCTTGTTTTGGTTTCTATTTTCATTGTTGTACAATGTTCATTAGTTTTAATTAAATACAATATTTATATAACTCGGGTTTTATTTTTTAGCCTTGTACAAGAAAGGAATCAGTGATGAAATCTTAATAATATTCGCTAACATTTCATTTTCCAGTAAGTTTTGTCCTTATTATTTTGAATTATTATCGGTAAATTTTAATAACTATGATTCTTAAATCTATCTGTCGATATGCAAACTGCTAAAAAACAAATACTGGCCCAATATCTCAACATATGTAACCTGTATTTTACCTTATTATACCATATAAAAATGTTAAAGTGATTAATTAGAGCAATAACAATAATTAAAATGAATACAAAGTGCTAAAAGCAAGAATATTAAAATATAATTTGAAATTAGTTATGTTTGTAATGATAATATTAATAAAGATATTATTTGTATAATATAATTGCATTATGTGTACAATAATTCGTAGCTATATTTTACAAACGATCATTTGCATGAACTAAGTAATTTTTATTCTTAATATATAGATTTATGAAAATAATATATATATATATATATTTTCTTTATATTTTTACTTTTTTTTTCATTATTATTGGATAAATAATTTTAACAAAAATTCTGACTATCAATCTCGATTTTCTACAGATATTTATTCAAATTGAATTTATATCATTCAAATATATTTTATAAAAATATTGATTATTTAAAATTATTATAATTTTCTTCTATATATTATTACAAATTAAATTTTAATTCCCGTTAAAAACAGTAAATTTCTATCTAAAAATTTATCTTCAATTCGATAAATTCCAGTCTAAAAGATCATTTACAAACATCATTTACCACGCCTATCTTCAACTAGATTAAGCAACAATTACATTCTGATTCCAGGTGAGCCTGTCAAGTTTTAATATTTATTTACACACACACTAAATATCATTTATTATCATATTAATAAATATCAATTTTAAATAGATACTTTTTAGTATTTCCATGAGTATATTTAATGTTTGTAAAAAATACGTGATTAGCACTGATTAAATTTTGGGCATATTTAAAAAGCTTATATTGAAGAATATATTGTTTCTGAATTTTTAAATAAAATTTTAAACTAGTAAAAAAATTAAAAAAGAATATATTAAAACAATTTTCAATAGAAACATATTTAGTATTAAATTAAATTTGATTATATCTATGGAACTTTTTTTTATTAATTTGGAATTAATATTATTTAAGTTAACACGTAGAATTTGTATAACGAAATAACTCAAATTATACATAAATTCTATAGTTTTATTATTTTATTTTAGAACTGAACAGATGAAAATGAAAAAGTTAAAAATTAATATACCAATAAAACATATATGCATTATATATTATAAGAGACACAAGTACTGATACTTGGCAAAAAAATTGCCAATATAAATTATATTGTATGGAAATTCAATGAAAGAAAACAGTATTAAACAAGATCGAAAAAATTTTATTGAGTGTAAAAATTTCGAGAAATCTCGAAAAATAATACAAAATAAAGCACTATCAAAGTAATGATTATTTTTGTAAAATTAAACATAATTATTGAAATTCATAATTTGTAAAGACATGGGTAATAATTGCATAATTTTTAACAGTGTTACGTATGTAAGTTTTTAATATTTTTTCAACAAAAATAAATTTTATTTATGACTATAATTGTTATTTCAACGCGTTCCTTACTTTTTAAGGTCTATTCAATCTAAATTTTATATTTATTTATCTTCTTCAATTTGAATGTTAGAAAACATTTTCCTATATATTATGTAAATAGTACTTGTATTGCGATTATATTATATTCTTTACAAGTATTCTTTGAATATCCTTACTCGACTAGATGAATTTAAATAGAAAAGCAGATGATTCAAAATTTCGATTTATATTATATTGTCACTTTTTCGCATATAAATCGATAACTTTTCATATACAAATAATTTTTCATTATTTCAAATTGGATACTTTCTTATTCATCTTATACCATCTTTTGTGTTAAAATTAATTTTATAAAAATACTTGTTATTAAATATATCTAACTTTACGATTAGGTTTTTTCGCCAAACAATGATTTTGTTCTTGTTATATTATTAGAAAAATAAGAATATATCTTATTTATTAACAAAGCTTTTAATGTTATAATTACTTATTAAGTTTAAAAATTATAAGTGAAAAAATAAAAAAGATATAATTTATATTATTTACTTTTAAATATAATTTTAAATGTGAATCTATGATTAATAGATATTCAATATGGAAATAAACTTACATTCATAAAATTCACGTTATTGTCCGATCGAAATTTTTGCATAGATTTTGATTATCTTAAGGTAATTACTGTGAAATCATATATTTATAATTAGAATGTACTATTTCTCAATATTTTCTATCTATATCATTTAATTGGCTAGATTTGCTACTAGACTGCATACTAATATTAGTTTTTATTAAACTGTCAATGGTGTAGAGTATGAATAAATAATTATCACCAATTTGATCATAACACATTGGTAAATGTATATATATATTATATTATTGATTTAATATATACTATAATTTCATTGACCATATTTTTAATAATGACATGTTTTTATTATATGATAAACATATTTAGTAAAACTGTACACTTTAAAATAAATATTTAAATTTGATCAATATAGTTATTTATATATTCAAAATTTATAGACGAAATTATTAAGGTTACAAATCAACATTTTTCTGCTTTTCAATAAAAATATTTAAATAACTTCATCGACTGTTTTCTTACCGAATTAATGTCTACTATCATACATAATAAATGAAAAAAATCAATGCTAAGCCACCATGCCAAAAGTCATTAAGACCAGTTATTAATGTGGTTTACTATAAAAAAAAATTTTTTTAATTATCCATTTAAATTTATCTACTAATACAAAACAAATACGGTATGACATATTATGCTAAGTAATCAAATAATATATATCGTAATCTCAATTAATTTTAATTGAATCAAATCAAAGCTCTAATCACAGTTTATTTTTTTTTTTATATTAAATTTAATGAGAATATTATAAATAATCTTTAATGAAAAATGTATACAAATAGCTATCAAACTATTGTATACAAAATAATGAATAAGTAACTCTGTTAAGAAAAGACTTAATTTTATCTATACAATGAAACCATGTGGAACAATGAATACTTATCATTGTTTTGTTTTAATTTTGATAATAAATGATCTCATAATACTACGGAAAATAACTTTTTAAATTAAATTTTCTTTACATAAAATACAGTAAAAAAATAATTGATCAACAATCTAATATATAGTATTAAATTCTGTACAATAAATAAGGTTTGAAAAAATTATAGTAAAGGAGTTAAACATATTCATTTGACCATATAAGAAGATATTATTCCTTAAATATGGATTTATAATAAATCAAATCGGATACTTATTTTCTTAACTAAAGTTGGATATGCATACACAATTGTCATTATCATATGATATTATCCAAGCGTTGCTCCACGGAACAAAAGCTGGATAAGCTCACCGAAGACGTTTGTGCAAAGTCTTTTCTTTTGGTGTTCAGATCGGAGTTTATATCGTCATTATAGAGAAGCCAATTAGAGGCGAAATTGTGCTGTCGATACTCGGCATTATTGTTTCCGTTACCGACGTTTCGGTTCTCCAATGCTGAGGGTATCGAATTTAGACCCTTACGTAACGTCATTACCGGCGTTTTGTTGCTATATACGCAACAAGTTTCATTTAATTTCGTATAATCTACGTAGTTCGTTGTACAGAGGTTTAGAGTATTTTCCAAGGAGCGACCGTTCATCGTTGGTGCTGTGCTGTTCCGATCAGTGTAAGACCAATGCGGCCAATACGGATCTAGTATCGTCGAACCTTTAAAAAATGCAATCAAAAGAAGATACTTAACATGAACATAAGTTTTATTTAAATTTCTATTATTTAGTTTTATATTACATATTACTTTTCAAAATTTCGTAAACACATTTAACGTTCCACTTGATCAATATTGAATAATAATACAAATTTCAATACACAGAGAATAAATATTAATTGGAAGAAAGTCATTTTTAAAGTTAACTAAGTCAATAATAAAAATTCATATATGATTGTAAGATTCGTAAAATATATAGTTTCATATTATAATAGTTTTAACAGTTAAACCTTGTTTCATCTGTTACTATTTTCAATTTTTCAAATAAACTTTATAGTTTTCCAAAAAAAAAAAAAAAAAACTAGAAACTCAAAAAACAAGACTATAATGTTCTTTTAAAAGAAGAAACTTAGATGACTATTTGCAGTAATGGAACTACATACATACCGTGTGTTGTATGCAGATTATTTTGAACGGTCGAAGCACCGGACTCCGCCACGTAACTCTCGAATTGTTGATTTTGTACTTGTAGTGGATCGGTACCTAAAGGCGTAACCGTTGGCGGATTAGGTATGACATTTTGTTGTTGTTCTTCATAATATCTAGGATCATATGTGGTGCTATCCAGTTCGACATGATATAAAGGAGTAGCCACGTTCAATTGTGCATAATCGGAATAACGTGACTGATGGCTCTGTTCATTTGATTGCTGTTGTATTTGCGGTTGCGATTGCGGTTGCGATTGCGGTTGCGATTGCGGTTGCGGTTGCGATTGCGGCTGTGATTGCGATTGCGGTTGTTGTTGCTGTGGTTGATTATGATGAGTTTCATACAGGTCCTGAACATAAGTTGTGCCATCCACAGTGGCGCATATATGTCTATAGTAATCTTGTGGTTCCGGCTGTTTAACGATATTGGAAGGCGTCTGATAATAACGAGATGTATCAAATTGTAGATCAGGCACGAGTTCACTCGGCTCAAGAATACTGGTGGATCCTTGGATCTTTTTCCAAAAACAGTAACAAATTTTGTGTGAAAAAATATATGATCTATATTATTTTATGATAATTTGAGAAAAAATAAAGAACTTACGAAATAATGAAAAGCAACACTGTTAGATTTTGAAATATTAAAGATTCAAAATTAATGAATCCTTATTTGTAACAACAACAACAAAATGTAATGCCCAAAAAGTAAATTAAAATATTTTTTTTATGATATAAGATTTAAAGATGAATACATTTTTTTAATTATCGATAATCTTAATTCATTTTGTTTAATAGTATTAATCTGATAATTTATGTATTCCTCTTTTTAATCGAATTTCTTCAAAAGAATTATGTAATAAAAAATCAGTAATTATAAAAAAAATTGTATATAGTACATTATTTTATGTGCTTATTTTGTCATAACAAATTCTTCTCATTTTCGTTATTTTCTTTCGTTGATCATTATTTACCGATTACATCCGTTTAGTTTGAGCTATTCAGGCAAATTACACAATATAGTTTATTATTCCGAATTTTTCTGCATCTACTGAATATAATATAGTAAAATTTGTTATAAATTTAGACTAAATTCTTGTTTTTTTTTTTGTAACTTTTATCGAGAGGTATTAAAAACGGAAATTCTCGCTGCTAAGAATTTGAAAATTTGTATGTCGTAACTTCATTACACAGGGGCATTTCAAATCATCGTAATTACACTGTTTAATTTTTAATAAGAAATTTCAGTTTTATCAGAAGTTACAAATTTAAAATCAAAGTTTAAATACATTAATACAACTTGACATTTCTGAAAAATAATTATTTCAAAAGACAGTTCACTTGAAAATTTTCTAATTTTGTATGCATTATACTTTTTATTTAAATTCAATAATTGATAACGTAAGAAAGTAAAATAATTACGAATTAATGTTATTTTATATTTATAAATAATTGTAAATATCACCTTATAATGTTAGCTATTAGCTATCTGAGAAACTTTAAACAATGACCGTAACTATGTATCTCTATAAAATGCAACATAAAAAATTCTTACAGGATAAAGTTGATCAGTAGTCATACAGAATTGGGCATTTGCTTGAATGATATTGGATGCATCTCCAGGGCTTGGGTTCATCATATCCCCGCTCTCAGGACTTTGAAATTGTATAGAAGCCGTGGGTTCTAGTCTTGAAACCGAGGATGATCCGTAATCAGTAGGGTGGGCTATATCGAGACTGTTAGAGGCTAGCCAGCTCCGACAATTCTCTTGTGCGTCCGTTTGCGTTACGAAGTTGAATTGATATGGATTGCATGTTTGCTGTTGATGTTGTTGCTGATCATAATCTTGCTGTAAATATTTCTCTTGTCATTTAATTCTAATTTTTTTACCTAGATAATTAATTATATATTTAAATAGAAGTGTTATAATAACTTGTTCATTTCATACATTTTCAAAGAAATAAAGGAAGCATATATAAATTTGAATCAAAATAAATTATAATAATATCTACAGATATGTGGATCTTTATTATTTTACTAAGTTAGTACACGTCATATTTCGAAATGAAAGCTTTTACAAAATATTCCGATAAAGAATATATGCAGTATTATTCCACAGTTAAAAAATTGATAAGTATATTAACTTAAACTGATGATTTCCTAAATATTTATAATGATAAAAATATAATTATTTTTTATTTACTTTATTTATTATATTTATTTTTTATTTATTTTATTTATTATATTAAATCTATACTTATTTTCATATTATTTTTTATTTATTTTATTTATTATTTATTTTATTTATGTTATTAAATCTATACTTATTTTCATATTATTCACATAAATTTATGTTAATAATAAGCCTATACTTATTTTCATGTTATTGACATAAATTTATATCGAAAATAAGATATTTCATAAAATATAAAATTTAAACATATGAGATAATTATGAAATTTCATAAGCCAATTATTCAAACTGAAATAACAAATATGTAAAAAGTAAATTGTTTCGGTATTATTTTGTTTCTATTAAATAATTTATTATAACACGTTATTTTAGTTTATATGGTGTCAATATTTTATTATCATTAAATACTTTAATGATTTACTATTCCTTTTGATATTACGCTTTATTAATTAATATTTTTAAACTGCGGGGAAAAATGTACCAGAGAAATCTGTTCGCCAGTGTTATCCAGGGTGGACCTGTAGTACGGAGTTATATTATTACCACGTCGGTAGTATGAATTATCGTTGTAACTTTGCTCATTTTCAAAGACACACGACAACCCAGTCACTGGTACTGTAACATTGTCCTGCCAAATTTCGTCGTTCTCGTTTATATCTGATTTGGCTGTCATAGTTTCCGAATTATCCGGTGACTGTTCCCTTAAACGATATGTGTCCATGGACCAGCCTGTAAATTATTTCACCGAAATTATTTCAGCCAAATCCTAAATTATTTAAATTTATTTATGTACATCAATTACGATTAGCATTATAAAATTATACAATAATTTAATACAATAGATTTTTCACGCGCACTAGTAAATTTATATAAAATAATGTAAAATTCTTAATATTATATAAATATTGAAGTTAAATTCGATAATTACAAAAATTTTTAATTAATACTATGATGAATTAATCAATTGAAAATAATTTTATACAATTTTCAATTAATGCTTATAAAATATTACAAAAAAGGAATTACAACACGTATGCACAATAAATTGATTAAAAAGAACAATTGAATTTTTTTTGACAAAAATTAAAAAAGAAACGTTTATAAATATACACCTTATAAATATAAATATTGCTTTAAAACATAATATATTATTGATTGTACTTAAGAAAACTAATTTATTTAATGTGATTTATTACATATAAGCAATGATTTAATAGTTTATACAATTCATGAGTATTCATGTGCATAAAAATTTTCCTTTGATATGTTGGTATTTAGGACAAAAAAATTTTTATTTTTGAAGTACAATATTAATGATACATAAATTTAAATTGGTTTAATAAAATAAATGTACATCATAAAACTTTCAAAATAATTTTTAATGTTTTGTTAGAACTACGCAATTACGAATTATTTAAAAATATAATTTTTTGTTGCATAAAGAAATCAATTGATATTATATATTCAATGAAATCGTGGTTCATATACACTTATAATTCGTTAGCATCCAAATAACTGCAAAAAGATGGTTTCGCTTATCAAGTATTGTATATATTTAAAAATGTGTGTATGATTTTTTAATAAAAAAAAAATGTTTTTGTTGAACAATTGTCCAAGTCACATAATATTATTATTTTATTAATGATGAAATATTTGAATTTTATATTATTGAAATTAATATGCTTTTCATTTTTATAATAGTTTACCGTAGGTGAAAATTTTGTTAGTATCTTATCATCAACATTATTATATATATTATTACACAAAATATCTTGTAATTTAGAGAAAATATAATCGATTGAAAATAAGTCTTACAACAATAATAGAAATAATAATATAGCATTTTTATATTTACAATGAATATCGAATAATTATAGTCTTTAGAGGAACTTTTTAAATTGATTTTAAACAGAAAGCTCTTTTAAAAATAAATTTTCATAAGACAAAAATAAACAAGTTTGGAAAAAACTATATTTGGGTCCTTCCCTGCTTTTTATCTGTTAAAAATTAAAAAAATAAAAATACATACTTTCAACCGGGCTTGCAATTTCACCTAAATTGGCTCCTACAGGAGCTTGCAACATTTTTTTAAGAAGCAAGGACATCTTCCTGCTTGCGCTTTCATCTACTGTTGGCTGAACAATTTGCTGATGTAGACTAGTACTATTTATGTGAGTAGCTTCGATGCTAGATCGATAATTAGAAACAGTAGCTTCAGTTCTTAAGTCCATTATTTCATCTAGTAAGGTAGAGTTGTTGTTTGTATCGCAATTACCATATACACCATGTGAAGTGTATAACACTAATTGTCGAATGTCATTGTAGCTTAAATTGCATCTTAAATCTTCATATTTACTTGTACCTACTTCTTCTTCAGCTCCTACCTAAAAATCATGTAGATATAAGTAAATAACACAATATTTCTTTTATAAATAAAAAATTTTCATAGTAAATAGAGTATTGAAAATCTTTGAATGTATATTATTAAGATTGCACAATCATAGTAATCAATTTAATTTACATTTATATTTTGTGGATAATATCAACAAACACTATATTTTTTATTACATTTTTTATTACATTTTTTGTTTCATTTCTCTAATTATTAACTGCTTTATTAAATGATCAGTTTTCTGTAAAAACAGTTAATTAAGACTAGTTGAATATTTACCCATTGAAATGGGTATTGTTGTTGATGTTGCTGTTGTATTGGAAACAAATAGTGATCCTGCTGTGTAGGAAGATCAGGAGAATCATTGTGAAGTGCAATTTGTATGGATCCATCTTCATCTTCTTTCATAATTTTCATTCGTTTAGTTCTTTTTTTACGATTTTTTTTTAAATCTGTAAGTAATCTTGTTACCTCTGAGCTATTACCACATTTAACTGCATGAAGAATCTTCACTAATAAAAGCTTCTATAAACCATATATAAAGTTTTTCCTTTTTACATAAAAATTATTGGGTGATTAAATATAATTAAGAACAATACATATTTTTTTGTTTGATATAAATTACCATAAAGTAATTAAATTTTATAAAACTTTTTATAAAAACAGGTTTACTTTAAAACTAGATTTTTAGAATAAGACTGAGATAAATGAATGGATATTTTGACCATATAGTAGGAATAAACTCATTATACATACATTTCACAATAAATATAATTATTTGAAATATAACAATTTATCTTTAAATAGAGACAATGCAGTATAATTGGCTTGAATAATATTTTTTTTAATACTATATTAAATATGAAAACAGTATTCAACAGTAGGAGAATTAGATGGTATTAAAGCAGTATCTAATACATATAATTAGGGGGAAATTATTTATATAAAAATATATATTCATTTTGAAACTTCTGTTACATTGTTGCCATTTACAAGACAAAAAAAGTATGATGATATTACAGTGGAAATTAAAATGAATATTATTAATGTAGCATTAATAAAACGATAGTTGTCTTTGACTAAATCTAATCTACCAAAAATCCAACAAATTTTCGAATCGATTCACCCGGAAAGCATGTAAATGAAAAATGATATGCAGTGAAATTTAACGGCTTTAATATTTTATCACTATGAAAAATAAATATAACGCGAGAATAATCGAAAAATTAGTTGCACATATTGGCGTGACAATTCGGACATTAAATGTGCGTATTAAATTTCCATCATCCGAACGACTAGCGATTCCAACAGCGTTGCCATTCTTGCGATTGAAAAAATCGACTATACTCGGTTTACTCGGTCGTTGTCGCGCGTACGCGTGCCGATACATCCTTTCGTACCGGCAATTAATATCCAGAAACGTACAAAAATAATTTCGAAATAAAGGGATGAACGTAGATAGCCGAGACGAGAATCTGCGGGATATAAACGTGAAATCATGAATAAACCTCACCTTGATGTTGCCGGGTACGCGGTGCTTAACGGCAAGTGCTTGCAGTTCTTTGTACGACAGAATCGACAAATCCTTGGCGCTCATTCTGTCATCGAGAAACGCGCAGGCCTCATATATACAGTGGACAAACAATCCTCCCTAGAAGAGCAACCAGTGCTAATTGTCCGTCACGAGTGGCACTTTCTTATCCCCGAAACGTCCGAGAACTGAATCTTGACGAAACATAGATAAACGGACGTGTGACCTTCTTTGATCCCTCTCCCTCTCTCGCAGTATATGCACTAACTTTTTCGAATTAATTAATATTGGGTCGTCGACGAGGACGGAGAGAAGGGAAAAATGCCCGATCTACGTGCAAGGGGTATGTGTGCGTGCACGAATCATCGTAAAGAGATGCGTAGAAATGCCAATGCCGATGCCGGGCTTTCCGGATTCGCGGATTTCGAACGTCGGGGACCGTTTCCTCCCCTCCAACGCAACGTAGCTAGAATCGAGATTAGGCTAGGCTTTACGTTGGAAGCTTTTCAATTGGGGGAGTGTGCGTTTATGAGTACGTAATTTGAGACGTGTCGTTCACTTGTCGCATACAAAGAAATCGCGTTTCCGATATGTTACATGCATAAGAACCACCACAGGGGTTTGAGTAGATAGCGGCCGACCGATGGATTAGCATTTGCGTGCTACCTGGTAGCGCTTTTAATTGCATTGAGTGATATATCTGCTATGAAACTTGTCTTTCAGTTCACCCATAAAAATAATAATATACCGTTTCCCTCTCCATTAATCTTCCTCATCGTAAGTACACGTGCATCCATTTTAATATTTATAGATTGACCGTAGAATAAAGACCTTTCAATGAAATTTATTTTCGTAAGAGCTTTTAACTTTAATTCTTGTCAGCATATATTTTCGCATTAAAATGGCCGATACAATTTACAATTTAAAGATTTTATTAAATATTACCTTTTCAATTTTTCGATAAAAGTTAAATTTTCAATATAACCAGTTTAAAGTGCAGTTTAGGCAGTAGATAAAAGAATTACTCTTATATATTCATTATAATATATATTCTATAATCAAGATAAATATTTATTAAGGGATGCATGCGTTGAGTATAGTTACGTATTAATTATATGACATGTAATATAGCTTCGAAAAAAACTTTCAATTCTAGTTTTTGATTTTATTACGCGCCGTTATACTGCACTTAATGCTGCACTACAAATTTATAAATTTTAAATTATTACTTTTAAAAGATTCTTCTAAATTAATTTGTATTTCGATTCCTCATAGCCGCCTTATGGCATTTTTAAGACTAAAATTTTCCAAAATGAATTAATAATATTATAAATTATTTTTTCGTGATCTTATAATTTCTTTAAAATATTCGTTTATTCTTTTTTTTTTTATCGCAATTTTTTTATATCTTTTATTTATTAAACATATAATTTTAATATAAAATAGACATTTGTCATAGTTTATATGTATAATTTTTTTTTAATTATTCTCTTAAAGAATAGATATATACAAATAGACGTATAGAAATATTGCTTGAAAAAATGAAATATTAAGTGTAAATGTATTTCGAAGAATTTATAAAAGTTGAAATTCAATCTTTAATATTCCTAATTTACCTTAAATTCTTCAATTTCTAGATAATTCTACGATTTCCCTGAATATCAAATAAATTTATATATTTATAATATTTATAAATTATACGATTGGTATGTCTTTTTTATATGAAGATATGGCATGCTTTGGTTCAATATTTATCCGATGAGCAACAATATAAAAAAACATATGTTAACTAATCTAAACAATAAATAAGCACATTATAAATTAATAACAGAACATATTATACATGAAATGTATAATATTAATTTTTCACATATTAATTTTCATAATTTTAAGTATGTTTCATTAAGTTTACCTATTAATTGTGAACAAATTTATTACGAATAAAAAGAAAATGGAAAGAAAAGATTCATAACTATAAAATAAGTTTTGTGAAATCAACGGCATTGGTATAGAAAGTTCGTTAAAATATTTTCGACTTATTTCTAAATAAAATTTTTTAATTAATTTCATATTTCGAAGAAAATATTCGATTTATTTTAACAAACTTTCGAACTTGAAAGCTAATCACCTTATCAATACAAGACAACTGATTTTCATTATTTCATGCTAAGCTAACGTAATATATTTAGCCATACTCATTTTCTATATTTAAATTTCATATTATTATTTAATTTTGATTTTAATGAAAGTAAAGGTTCTCTCATATTAATTTTTCCCATTATTTCCATAATTTTTATTGATGCTAACAAACGTGAATTTTTGTAAACATATATTTTATCATTTGTACGTCTACATTATTTAATCAAGTATAGACTTTTTCTGCTTTAGAATTATCCATTTTTTCTGACAAATTCATTTAAAAGATCATAAAATTGATTAAAAATTTAATTTTTTGATTTTTGTAAAATTATATTTATTGTAAAATTGTATTATGGAAAATATGTATACTATATGAAAAACAGGACTGAATAGATGAACTTCTATGTCATAAAAATTATGGATTTTTGTGCAAACTCACTAAAACACATACAAATATAGAAGCTTGTTTTATTCAGATTATTTCTATGTGCATAAATAATTATTTATAAATATTAATTATTAATATAAAAATAAACTATTAATTATTCAAAATATTTCAATCATTTAAATGAATTTTTATTAAAAACTTCCTTTTACATAATGCTGTATCTATACTTGTAAAAAACATTTTATTCTTTTCTATACTTAGAAAACCTTAAGCAATAAATATTCAGTTATAAAATAACTGAATAGCTATTTGAAGAAAAATCATTGCAAGCTATTTAAGTATGCCGTTTCTTAGTTTACATGTTTTTATGTCATCCATATAAATAAAGGAAATTGAGAAATTTCTTTATTTTCAAAAGCCCCTATTGAAATAATACATTTCGCATTAAATCAAGCAAATCCCTTTTTATTGTAATTAATAAATATGTAAATCATATTCATTCAAAATACAATTATATTAATAAAAAAATAATATAATATTATAAAATTATAATACTATAACAGTAGTATTTTACCCAATTTGATAACATAGTTTTTGTTTCATGAATTTTTTAAAAAATTTTTTTTTAGATTTTATATAATTTATAAATAATTAAATATGCTAATCTGCAGACTTTGATTATTTTATTTATAAATAAATATAAAATATTTTCCTAATATGTTAAATGAAATTAAATCTAGTTCTAAATTTAGCTGTAGATCTTTGGATTATTGTCAATGCGGCAAATATAATTTCTTTAGTTGCTTCCTCATAATAATCGCTAATTAATAGCATTGAACGAAGGTATTCGATGTATTAAAAACTGATGTAAATTTTGCATTATTCATTTCCATATTATATATACTTTTTTCACTAACTGAAAACCATTTTTTTATAATATCCAACTTACTTCTAGGTCATCGAGTTTATCAAACTAGTTAACTTGTATTAAAAAAATTTACGTTTCTATAATCACAGGAACATTGTTGGAAATATTCAACCTTAGAACTATATATTCACAAATCGCTAAAGAAATTTATCTAAAAAGCATTGTGTCCAATCGTTCCGATGGTAAGTTTGATAAAAACACACATCTCTAAAAATCAGTTTATACTTTTCTTTCTCCACCAATGTCATGATTATAAATAAATTATCCATTATTAATGATGGCCAAGATTTTTGCTTACGTATCTCTATTATTATAGAATGAGAGCCAACATTTCAATTATTATATATATGCTTGTATGTATACGTTATCGACGAGAAGAATACTGTGATTATGTCTATATGAGCAATGAGGAATAAATGAAAGTTTATTTTCTTAAAAAAAAAATCAAGTTTCATATTAACATTAACGTATAATTAAAATATAATAAGCTTTTCTCCTATTTAATATTTGATCTGAACTGTTTGAAAATTTGTTTTTTCTATAGTAACTTCTATTACTCTCTTAAGTTTATCTAGCAAGTATTAATATGTCGAAATATATTGTAATTGAATTTTCTTTTAAATTAATCATCTGAAAATCAATGCATTATATCAAATATTTAAAATTTTGAAATAAAGATATATCAAAATTTTGTTATTTGAAATCACGAAATTAAAAAGCATTATAATTTTTATTTGACGAAATTTTTTATTTTGTTGAAACTTTCAACAAATTGATCATAATGTCACTATTACAAATTTGTAAGCTGCTAAATGAAAATCATCAACGTTCATAACGTAAATATCAAATATCTGTTGAAATTATATTAAAGTGAAAAATATCTGTAACTAAGTAAATAAAAGTGAATGCCTTGTTTAATATAAGCTCGTATAAAAATTTCTAATAATGAAAAAAATCTTCTAGAAATTAATATGCGAGTTTTAACATTTAAAACATTTAGCATGTATAATAAAAGCACTAGAAGCAATATACTTTACGTAGCATAAATTTTGGAAATAATACGAATACTGACTATTTATTAAGTTCCAGATATTTAATACTAATTTAGTATAGTAATTTTACTATATTCAATTTCTTATAAATCTACCTTTATATTATTAATATCGTTTTATTTGTGCACGTGCATTTTACTTTATACTTCAAGTATATGTAAAACTGAATATTGAAAAATGTTCTTTGAGAAATATCAAATATAGTTTTGCAATAGAATTTATAAAGATTTTATATACAATATCGAATAGTCACTTTTACAGTATTAATGTGTTTAAATCAAATGATATTCCATAAAAACAATATTGAACCCTTAATTGGTAAATCATAGATCATTTTTAAAATAATATGGTTCAATATGATGAACTTTGTTTTATAGTTTCTCAAATAATTAAATGCAATTACGCGAAAATCAGAGGCGGTAAAAGCGAGTCAAATGCCTGATAGGGGCGGCCATATTTGTAAAATTCTTGAAAATTCTATGGGAAATCGCTTGTTATCGTTCGTGAAGATAGACGAGCTGCTGATTTGTCATTGATATATAAATTAAGGAAAGTTACGCATAACATAACAATTCTTACTGATTAAAAAAAGCCAGATAATCAATTGTCCGTGCATAGATGGGTCGGTAAAGAGGAGTGAGTACAGCTGGAAAAGTGCTTTCCCGCGCAGCTCTGATTACGATCGTTTTAGATAGGAACTTGGAACTCGTGAGCAGCCGCGCGCGCGCACGTAAAAGGGCGCGGGTGGCTCCGCTAGCGAACATGTCAGTACCGCGCGGGCTCTTCTCGTGATAAGTACTGAATTGAACTCTAGCTGCCGTTATCGTTCTAACGGAAGCTGTCGGGTCTCACAGAGGCTAGAATAATGCCTGGCTCGCCGGCGACTATGAAGACACGTAAGAAAAATGATAAGAGTAAGTCCACAACCTCGGCATGTGTCTATGTATCCTGCCGACTGTTACGCTGAGTTTATCATTATTCTAACCCCCTTTACCTCCCATTTGTCAATCACGTTGAGACCAATGCTTGAATCTGCATTCAGACTATACTTTCCCTCTTTATCTTACTTTTTGACAATGCCAACTTTAGCTAATCAAGTGGCTAGTTAGGCAAATGTTGAATCTTTATACAAAAATCCAAAATTAGGATGATTTTTCATTCGAAAATTTTTAAGATCACACACCGATACAAATTATTGTATTGATTGTTGCATTTTTGTTGAAATTTGTTGATAATATTAATTGAAAACTGGCTTTGATATACTTGTAACGGTAAATGTGAACATACTTATTACGATCGATAGTTATACGATTCTTGCGCATGGATTATATTTATTTGTAATTTGTAATTATTTTTGAACTGCTCGCTTTAAAATCACTTACTTTTACCGTGTGTATATTTATTTGTTATCATAATGGTTTTTATTACGTCCATTGCACCTAGGACACATTTCATGGCCATGTTTATTTCTGTTACTGTTAACTTAAACATTGGATGCAATAATTTGTATTGTATTTGCGTCACAATTTTTTAAATAATTTTTTATACATTTACTGCTATGAAGTGAATTTGTTACGAAATTTTATAGTATTCAATTTCTGTATGAATTATCAAGTTATTAATTACGCGTAAAATTTATGCTTACTTTTTAAGTTATAATTTTTTTTTATAATTATATATTCGACATTTTATAAAAATTGACAAAAGCATCATTTTTCAATGTATAATATTCGTAATATTTGTGTTTAAAAAATATTTTAAATATAATAAACGATAAATGTTAAAAGCGAATGTCAGAAACGTATTCAAATATTATTTTTGTATTTTTATTGCATGACTACTTTATTTTATAATCTATCAATTTAAGCCTCAATTGTATAGGTATGAATGTATGTAGAAAAATCACTTACACGGCGTGTTTAACACTTTTATGATAATTATGAGATACATTTTTTATCCAGTATTCAGCAAGTGATATTTAAACATTTGTTTGTAATAATTGAATTTATAAAACAAAATTATTAGCATATTGTAATATATTGAATATAATGTATAATGTATGTAGGAAATGGTTATTTTGCAAAAGTTACAATAGTTAATGGGATATTAATTTTTTATCATGATTATAACTGATTTAACGTGCAACTTATGGCATATTCTTTGGTGAATAAGAATTGTATATAAATCAATTTATTGTGCTAATACAGTCATTTACTTATAACAATTCAAAACAATTATTTAAACAATCATGTCAGATTACACTATATTTATACCGTTATATGGCGTATTCATTTTTCTGCATACCATTTTAAAATTATTATGCCTTTTCACAGATGGTATTTTAGTAATTAAATGTAATATTCATGAATGTTTGAAAATGACTTTGAGATTTGATTTTAAAAATTATATTCTACATAAAAATAGATATTATCATTGTCAATACATAAATAAAAATATAAAATATTTTAGATCGTGATTTAATTTAATCGATCCTAATAGGCATTAATAGTTGTAAAATTAAATAATAAATAAATTTTAAATAATAGATAATTAATATCAATATAACTTTCAATATTATGAAAGCTGTATATTTATTAAATTTGTACGTTACATTTTCATTTATATAAATTCCCATAGATAATGATTATCACAAAATGCATTAAATCTTCAAATTATTAATATAATATTATTTTAACAAAATTTAAAGTAATTTAGTATACTTTGTGAGATAAAATTAGATAGAGATTATAATAAAATTATAATAACATTAAATTATACAATATAAAAAAAATTTGTATGAAAATATTCTATTATTAACAGAAAAAGTAAAGTTAAGCATATTTTTTTGGTAGAATTAATTAAAATACGTTGATGATTCTATATTTACATTTATACTTTAATATTAAAAACAATAGTTCAAATTGAATTCTTATTAGTATAGAATGTTTTCTTTTATCATTAAAATGGAGAGTCTTTTAATGAAAATTTACAGTACTAAAAAATATGCATTGTCATACCGTATTATTCATTTTATTTATTAAAAATTAACTATAATATAGCGAAAAATCTAATATTCTGTGCTTACTCTACGTACTGATTCTGCTTTCCCGCTGATTGTTCAATTAATATTTTTTAAAGGACTATGTTAATTCGAATTAAGATATGAACCGTAGGTACTGGCAAATCGTATTTCAATTGTTTCAAGCGCAATCAAGTGTTAAATGATCGCAAAAAGCTATTTGACAGGATGAATGTTTCTACCGCTTCTTGCTTTGATTAATCTTTCTATGGTCTAAATCTTCTCATAATTCGGAGAAGATAAAATTTGTTCAAATACAAAATACGAAGTCTTAATTGTTCAGAGTATCCAATGATACCTGGATCATTGAGAACATAAAGTGTTTAAAGAATCCACAGTATCGGATACTTATAGATGTTATTGTGCAATTACTCAGTTGTGCCAATGCAAGTCTACCGTCTTGAGCGAATGTCTATTTAAGGACCAATACTCCTTGATCATTATGAATTATTTATTTTTCGTAATTATTGAAATGCTTCTAGAAATACAATACATATGAATATTATTGACGTTATAACAGAAAAATATTATTAATTCGGATATTGTGTAACTTCATTTCATATTTTCTATGCAAGAACAATTTGAATGTATGGAATTTTAACATCGAATAAATTATTAATCAAAAACTTGTTGTTGCTTATATTTCCTTTGCAACCCTTATAGCTAATAAGGTGTCGAAATCTTATTTGTATTCAAAAATCAATATATCGTTAATATTTCGCCTTAAAGAAGAAAGATAGAGATAGAATTTGAAGTTTATTTATTATATAACTTTAACTTATTTCATACTAAAATTTAATTTTTGGCGATAAAAATACATTCTATATATTTTTAAATAAAATAATATATTCAATAAATGAAGACATGTATTATATTTTGCAGTATATTATTAACAGAAAAATAATTAATTAATAAAAAATGTATTAATAAAGTATTTAAGTATAATTTAACTTAATGACTGCCAAAAGTAGTACGTTATTAATAGATTATACTTTTCGGCAAAAAATAGATTAAATATAATTAGAATTTTATAATTTTTCATATTATAGACGATAATATGTTTTGAAAAAATAGATAATCTTTTTAAAAATCTTTTTAATTTTATGTATATTATATTTCCACATATATAACAGACCGTTAAATTAAATATACTTTTTTTTACTAAAGCAACAATTAGAAATTTAGTTAAATAATTTTTTACAATTGCAATACATTTATAAAATATGAAAATATGAGCTTTACACACCATTATTCCGTATATTACTTATATTGAAGTTTTTTACTTAATATTTTTATTATCTAATTCATAAAAATAAATTCATTAAAAATTAAACTCCATCAATTTTTTTTTACTAAATATCATAAATTCTGGTTGAATATTTCATTATTCAGATTTTATTTTCATCAAATACTAAGTATATTCAGTTGAATATATTTATCTGATCAAATAATTATTGATTAAAAGATTAAATAAATAATTATAATGAATTTTCAATACATTTTTTATTTTGCACCTAAAAATATAATTTTGTAATTATATTATACTACTTTTGTAATTGAAATTATATGATATCATAATTATATGTAATTATATTATATTGTACTAAATTATACTAAAATCTATAATCCAATATATATCTATAAGGATTATTTCATATTTGTATAAATACATTAAATGTAGTTAAGTTGCACCAATTTCATTATAAAAATAATTTAAAAATAAATTATCTTTTAATGAAATGAAATAATCTTATGAATAATATTTTAAACAAAGATAAGTAATTAATGGAAAAATCAATTTACATTATTTACTTATGATACATTATATGTTATGTTTATATTAAAAAAACATTTTTAAATTTTTACACATTTTATTATATAATTTAATGTAATATTTCTTATAAAAATGATAGTGTAAATCCTTATAAAAATGTTTAAAAATTTAAATAGATATTAATTTTAACTTATATATCATCAAATTTGAGATTTTTTAATTTTATTTCAATAAAACGTTAATTATATTAATGTATAAAACAAAATCTAATTTAGTTAAACGTTATCTTAATTTTATTTTAAACCATTTGTATTTGGAAAAACTTTTAAAATTCGTTATAATACTTAATATAAGTATTTAAATATTGTATAATTTTTATATAAATATGTATGTGATATATGTATCTAAATAAATTTTAATACATTTAGTTGTTGTATAACCAATCTATAAGTAACAATTACAAGATTCCAAAGTTCATACTCTTTCCATTTTAAATATCAAATCACTGATATTCATTCATAATTGAGTTATAATCATTACAAACTCAATTCCCAAGGTCGATGTTTCCAAAAATGTTGTATGATAAGTTAAAGTACCTTTATCAGAGATAGTGACTAATAGACATGTATTCATTTGCCTTGACAAGGAATCCCGGAATAAATGTTAATATACTAATTATAATTAGCATGAGGTCAAATCGAAAATCTATAAGTTTTTTAAGTTATGTCAATAACAGGCAAAAAGTTATTATCTTCGTATCGAATAATCATGTTGTCAAATTATCATAGCCTATTTTATGTTGAGTTTAGTGTGATTTATCAAAGAATATCAGATTATTATAAACAATCTAAAAATTCATAAAAATTATGCAATAATTCTTTGGTATATACAAAAAGTGTTTCAAAGCTTTCCTATCAAATTATTGATCTCATTTCTTCTTCTTTTAATATCTTGATATTAATTTATATGATGAGAATATATTTTAGCTGATAATAATGAAGTGCGTCTTTTGAAATTCATGCCTTTTAATAACACTTTTCTGCAATAAGGGATATTTTATA